GTAAACAGTCTTAAACTCCGACAAATTGTGATCATTTGTACTTTTTGCAGAGTTAAAGGATCAAGTACACTCAAATAAAATGTGCATTTGAACTGAGATAAGAGGGCAACAGGGTCACCTGGTAAAAAAAAATCCATTTCTCTCTCTCTCTCTGTGTGCTTTTATTAACTATGCAAATTGAGAGCTAGCCATTTTATATTCTGTTACCAAAGTTAACATTCCCTCTCAAAAGAAGCAACAAAAATCTGGAAGCATTCCCCTTGAGAAATGGAACCAGGCAAGGATGCCCACTGTCACCACTCTTAACATGGTATTGGAAGTCCTAGCCAAAGCAATAGGGCAAGAAAAATAAATAAAAGGCATGTAAATAGGAAAAGAAGAAGTCAAGCTATCTATCTTCATGGACCATGTGATTCTACACCTAGAAAAGCCTGCAGACTTTACCAGAAGGCTCCTAGAACTCATAAACAACTTCAGTAAAGTTTCAGGATACAAAGTCAGTGTACAAAAGTAAGAAACATATCTATATACTGATAACATTCAAGCTGAGAGCCAAATCAAGAATGCAATCCCATTTACAATAGCCATAAAAAGGGTAAAATACCTGGAAATTCAGCTAATCAAAGAGGTGAAGGATCTCTACAAGGAGAACTACAAAACACTGCTGAAAGAAATCAGAGGTGACACAAACAAATGGAAAAACGTTTCATGACCATGGATTGGAAGAATCAATATTGTTAAAATGGCCATACTGCCCAAAGCAATCTACAGATTCAACACTGTTCCTATCAAACTGCCAATGTCATTTTTCACAGAATTAGAAAAAAGCTATTCTTAAATTCATATTGAACCAAAAAAGAACCTGAACAGCCAAAGCAATCCTCAGCATAAAGAACAAAGCCAGAGGCATCACATTACCTGACTTCAAACTATGCTATAAGGCTGTAGTAACCAAAACAGTATGGTACTGGTGCAAAAACAGACACACAGATGAGTGGAACAGAATACAGAACCCAGAAATAAAGCCACACACCTACAGCCATGTGGTCTTCAACCAATTTTTTTTTTTTTAAAGCAATGGGGAGAGGGCTTCCTAGTCAATCATGCTGGGATAGCTGGCTAGCCACAAAAGAGTGAAACTGGACCCCTACCTTTCACAATACACAAAAATTAACTCAAGATAGATTAAAAATTTAAATATAAGACCTCAAACTACAAGAATCCTAGAAGAGGCTGAGCTCAGTGGCTCACAGCTGTAATCCTAGCACTTTGGGAGCCAAGGTAGGCGAATGGCTTGAGCCCAGGAGTTTGAAACCAGCCTGGGCAACATGGCAAAACTTCATCTTTACAAAAAATCCAAAAAAATTATCTTGGCATGGTGGTATGTGCCTGTAGTCCCAGCTACCTGGGAGACTGAGGTGGGAGGATCACTTGATCCCAGGAGGTCAAGGCCATAGTGAGCCACTGGTTGCACCACATCACACCACTGCATTCCCGCCTGGATGACAGAGTAAGACCCTGTCT